CATTTCAAAAATCATCTTAATGTAATATTTAGGATGAACCATGGTTCATCCTAAATATTACATTAAGATGCATTGCCCAAAACTTATCAATGTAATATTATAATTGTTCCAAAAATCTTGCAAATTAAATGTTTATATTGTTTATATAAAGCAACATTGCAAAAATCATATTAATGTATTATTTCGGATGAAACATTGCCCAAAACTTATCAATGTAATATTATAATTGCAATATTCCAAAAATCTTGCAAATTAAATGTTTATATTGTTTATATAAAGTAACATTGCAAAAATCATCTTAATGTAATATTTCGGATGAAACATTGCCCAAAACTTATCAATGTAATATTATAATTGCAATGTTTCAAAAATCTTGCAAATTAAATGTTTATATTGTTTATATAAAGCAACATTGCAAAAATCATCTTAATGTAATATTTCGGATGAACCATTGCCCAAAACTTATCAATGTAATATTATAATTGCAATGTTTCAAAAATCTTGCAAATTAAATGTTTATATTGTTTATATAAAGTAACATTGCAAAAATCATATTAATGTATTATTTTGGATGAAACATTGCCCAAAACTTATCAATGTAATATTATAATTGCAATATTCCAAAAATCTTGCAAATTAAATGTTTATATTGTTTATATAAAGCAACATTGCAAAAATCATCTTAATGTAATATTTCGGATGAACCATTGCCCAAAACTTATCAATGTAATATTATAATTGCAATGTTTCAAAAATCTTGCAAATTAAATGTTTATATTGTTTATATAAAGCAACATTGCAAAAATCATCTTAATGTAATATTTCGGATGAACCATTGCCCAAAACTTATCAATGTAATATTATAATTGCAATGTTTCAAAAATCTTGCAAATTAAATGTTTATATTGTTTATATAAAGTAACATTGCAAAAATCATCTTAATGTAATATTTCGGATGAAACATTGTCCAAAACTTATCAATGTAATATTATAATTGCAATGTTTCAAAAATATTCCCAAACATTCCAAAATAAATGTTTCTATTGTATATTTAAAGTAAAGTTGCAAACATTTTTCATTTGAAACTTATGTTAATATTTCAATTGAAACATTGAAAAAAAGTTATGTCTGCAATATTATAATTGTAATGTTTTAAAACTTTCATGCAACATTTTATACTAAATGTTACAAATATAACATTGTAAAAACTTTCCATGTGAATCTTTAAATAATGTTTTAAATTTAAGGTTGTTGAAAATTATTATATGCAATATTTCAAATGTAACATTTCATTTATGTTAATGCAAGTAGCACAGGAAATATTTTATTTGTAAAGTCGGCGAACATTGCAGCAATATTTTGTAAGGTTTCTTTCCCAGTGGGTATGTTTGAGTGAGTCGATTTAAACCAATTTATGCTTATCATCACAGGCACTTATTAGTCTCCAATAATCATGAATAAAATTATTGTGTATTTTTCTTTTAGCTGGGCTGTGCATTTATATGTCCACCTGTGACTAAATCCATATATTAACCATATATTTCGAAAAAACGTATTACATCTTTAAAATAACTCGACAGCCTTGAATTGACTTCTAATTCATTCTGAATAAAAATATAAAAACCACATACAGTGGCGTCGAAAATTAACTACCCATTTATTTATTTTTTAAATTAAGAAAACATAATCAAATGTACAAAAAATTAATTTATTTCCACCTTCTTAGTAAATGACACTTTATAGGTTAATTTTGTTGTTTTTGTATCCAAGTAAACGATACATTATGAGAACAGACCTGTAATATTTTACGGGCTTGTATAAAAGTTTTACAGGCTTGTAGAAAAAGCAATTTATGAAATGAAATGACACATTTGACACATTAATTGAAATATTTAAATTTAAAAATCGTTATCTAAAGGTGAAAATAAAAGTTTGTACGTGTCACGCTTTGCAATTAATCTTTACTAGTCTCACTGGATTAAACTTCCAGCTCGCCCGTAAAGATTCATTTACAAAGCTTGACACGTAAATAACTATAAATGACTAAAAGACATACTTTTCATAAAATTTATATTTAGAAAAAATAAAACATGTATTAAATCCTAAATTTGAATTAAACCTAACTGCATATAATTAAACTGAAAAATCATATTCTTAACTTTTACAATCACCTAAAAAACCTATTTACTATTTTTTACCTCTAAAAAGTTATATGAATCGGACAATTTTCTTATGTGTATAATGTCTATCAAGAGGAATAAATTAACGACTTATGGCGTTTAAATGGATTGCAGCAGACTTCACCAAAAATGTTGGTAAAATAATATAGATATCTAAGTATATACTTTAATTTGTGATACCTACGTACAAATATCGGTTACAGTGGCATCCACTCGCCATTCTATTAAATCCTTTTCCTCTTTAGTACAAGATTCAATCTTGGAAAATCGCGAAAAATATTTTTATCCGAAATCGGCAGTAAAGTAGTCAACAATCGGCAGTAAAGTAAAAGAATTTCTTAATAAAAATAATAAGTTAATTTTATTAATTAGATTAAAAAATCGCTGCGGCTGGCAAATATATAAAACCGTCGTAACAAACAGTATACACGTATACGTGTACACCATACAATCAAATGAAATTTGATTTGATCATAAAATAACATTTGATTTAATCATCAGTATTGATTATTAGTATTAATAAATGTGATTTCGGATTAAATTTAATATGCACCTCGGCATTAAAGTCATTTTTTATCACTCACGTGGTTATTCATAAATAATTACGACTTTACTGCCTTAAGGCAATCAATTGATACATAAATAACTATTTGTGACATTTTTCATTAATTAATTTTCCAACGGAACAATCCATTTTTGGAAACTGTTTTTAGAAAATTATGCACAATTTAATAATTTATTATTTAAGTTTTTGTTTATTTACAAAAGGTAAAAAATGGTCTCTTGCGAATTAGAACTCAATTCAAGTCTTGCTACCTACCGAGTTTTTTTATAAAATATATATTTATTTATATATATATATTTAATATAATATATATTATGGATTTAGTCAGGTGGCCCACCTGAGGTGGGTATATTGTGTATTTTGCTTATAGCTGGGCTGTAGATGATACAGCCACAGCCCAGTTAAAAGCAAAATACACAATAATTTTATTCATATGAATAAAATTATTGTGTATTTTGCCATATGGTTATTGGAGCATGTGATAATAAGCATAAATTGGTTTAAATCGACTCACTCAAACATAGCCTTTTTAAACCATGAAATGGCTGAAAATAGTGATTTTTCGAAAACATGAATTTTTATATACAGTGTCCTGAAATGAGTGCACCATACTTTAACAGCAGATTCTACGTGCAAAAATAAGAAAAAAAGTTCCTATAAACATATATATAGGTCAAGAAATGCCTCTTAAGGGAGCTACAGCCCCCAAAAAGAAAGCCCCTGAAGATGGTTTTTATTTAATATCTCCAAAACCGTTAAAGATAGAAAAGTGAAATTTAGGGAATTAATTAAACTTTTTATGACCAATAAGACGTAACAATAACAATTTAAAAAATTTCATGAGGTTTGGGTCAGATTGATAGGAAGTGGGGTTAAAACCACCTTAACTTTTTTGTACGTATCTTGTACCAGAATTTGATGTCAGATTATGAAATTTTGGAGTTTTGCACATAAAAAAGGTCATTCTGTTGAACTTTGTTAACATACACCGTTTTCGCTTAAAATCGATTTGAAAATTATTTTACATGGCATAAAAATTCACAATTAAATCTCAACCATAGAAATGGACTCGCGTGGTCCTTGGAATACGACTGCCATGTTTAGGAAAAAATAGAATAATTTAAGACAGGTGACAGTTTCATGTAGTAAGTGACAGGGTGTTTCTACTTTTTTATAAATATTAGATAAAAACCATATTCAGGGGCTCCCTTTTCGGGGGCTCTAGCTCCCTTAGGAGGCATTTCTCGATCTATATTTATAGGGACTTTTTTTCTTATTTTGGCATGTGGAATCTGCTGTTAAAGTATGGTGCACTAATTTCGGAACACCCTGTATATATATATATTTTTTTGAACTAGCCAATATTATTTGAAAATGTTTTCATTGCTTTTATATAGAGTAAGATCTTTGGTAACAACTACATTAAAAAAAATTTGCTGGCAAGTTGTTCTAAGAATATATGAATTTATAAAATTAGACAATTTTGACAAAAAATTGCATTTTTTAAAAAATTCCAAATACCATTTAGGGCATCAATAACTAAATGTGTCCTATATAGTTTAAAAGAGAAATATTTTCTTAACAATTAACAGTTTGTTTAATGTCGATAGCTTTATTAGCAAAAGAAGTACAATTTTTTAAAGTTACGTGTGCACAGTAACTTTTGCATGGCCCTGTATAAATAGGTGAAGGGGGAAGAAAAGAAAAGGTAAGTTGTTTTTTACTTCTTGGGTCCTTGTCTATTTACAGTTAAAAAATAAATAAAATTAGAGGATATATATATAAGGATATCCTTATATATAAGGTGCACTCATTGGTGGCTAATAAATGGAATTAGGTACCCTATATAGTATAGGTATTACCTATTAGGTATTGAGTTTCTTAATCAATGGATTGATTAAGAAACTCAAGGCTATCATGATATAAAGAATAATAAATCAAAATCGAGTACTAAAAAAGTTTTTAATTTTTTCCTTGCAACTTAAAATACAAATAACGTGCGCGATTTAGCTGTGCAATTGAATAAAATATGTCGAGTAAGACTTCTGCCTTCCTCTCTTTTGTGAAAAAAACTACCTATTTATTTAAAAAGGATGTACAGTTCGTGTGCTTTAATTGTATTGTTGACAATTCTTAAATTCACACAATGCTATCGAAGTCCGCCAGATGGCGCGCGCGTTGCGAAAACCCGATACTTCTTTAGCGTATACTTAAAAGTCTACCGTCTAATACATTTTTTTTTCGTTTTTGTATAGCATATGAAAGATCTGTACGAACCGACATTTTTGGGAATGTTGGGTGCCCAGTACTATTTATCTTATAAAACAGTGGCATTCCTAAGGAAAAATATGCACCCTGAATGTTCTATAGAAGATTTTTTGAATTTTATTTGCCAAGCAGAAGAATATGCTTTGTTTCCAGTCAGACATAATGAGGATAATATAAACAGGTAAATAATATTTTTTCAAGTATGAGACTAATATTTAAAAGATTATATTTTTCAGGGATTTAGCCAAGGATTTAGGTATTAAATCCCAATTTCCATTCGATTCTCCAGCATTAAAGGTTATGCTCATGATCAAGTGCTATTTATTGGAAGTTCCTTTACCAAACCAAGATTATGCAATCGATTTAAAAAACGTTTTAGATCAGATTATTCGGATTATCCATGTAAGTTTTAAAACATATCTATGTCCATATGCACAAAACTTTTTTAGACATCTGGCAACGCTGAAATTTAAAATCGCTTAAAGTTATTGTTAATAAATTGTATTTTTAAGGTAAATATTTTTATTTTAGCAAACAAACAAAAATTAAATGTAACTTAAGTTGAATATAATCTTCCTACTTTTATTTTTTACAACCCAATTGGGTTGTAAAAAATAAAAGTAGGAAGATTATATTCAGGAGCTTCAACTCTGTATATGAGAATAGATAGCAAAAACGTCTATCAGAAGGAGTGGTGGCTAAAGCGCACAAAGCCACCGCGCATTAGGAACCTGCGCACAACTCAATTTCAAGTTTTCGGTCATCGTACGCCTTGCGACATTCTTTTAGATCCCCCCTCCTCAATATTTCTATAGAGTTGAAGCTCCTGAACAATATATGATGCTTTTGCTCCTGAATATAATCTTCATTTTGACATTTGTAACATTTTATAATAGATACTATGGTTCCCACATCAAAGTGCTATCACGCGACTTTGATAGAAATAATTTAGTCAGTGTCAAGCTAATTTTGTCATATTTTCTGAAAATAAAGGTACGTTCTCCTACAAAATCGCTGGTTGCTGGTAGTCTGCTACTTCCAACGGCTAGCAAACAGTCAATTGTGACAGCTACTTAGTAGCTTGTAGGAGAATTCTCAATGAATTGTATTTTTTGAGCCATGGCAACTACCAACAACCGTGGTTTCTCTATAGGAGCACACAAGCATAAAATGTTTAATTTATAATTATAATTAACAACCGTAAGGGGCATCAAAACGCACATCGCCTTCACGTCGTGCGGAATCATTCGTGACGGTAAAAACGCTGCGATATGATATTCATTTTATAATTAATGGGAATACAGGTAAACGCTCCTAATATCGACACTGTTCCTAGTATCGACAGTTTTGGATACATTGTGTTAGTTATTTCAATAAAATAAGATTTCTAAAAGGAAAAGAAACCTGTATTTAGGGTCATACCAGTGGCGGCTGGTGAATTTTGGGTATACCCATATCTCAGTTATTAGACATGGGCCCCACACCAAAATTATATGAGTTTATAATGACATTAAGTAGACAAGATCTGGGCAAGCAGAATTTAAATTAAAGTTTGCGAAAAAAAGTTTGTTTCTCAGCTAGTTTTCCCCACCCCCTGCCCCCCTAATTAAAATAATTCAAATTAAAGAGGTGCAATTTTTAATTTACTATAGTTTATTAACAAATTTCAAAAATTATTATACCCGAAATTCACCAGCCGCCACTGGGTCATACCAACATAAAATCTTTAGGTTCATTCCAACCAGCAGTAATTTCCAGTATATTACTGATACACATGCGCGTTTGTACAATGTCGTTCCAACCAACTAAAATTACTAGTTTAGAACTGGCAATTACTGTCAGTTCGTCGTTCCAACCAGAGTTACGGACAGTAAAATTACGGTTCAAACGATTCTTGCTCGAGAGCAAGAACTGTTGATAATAAAATTAGACGCATGCGTAGAAGGGGGCACATAACCTCATCTTTTTGTTTATTTATTAACGTTTGTAATATTGTAAGTTTGTTTTCTGTAAAAGTGGACATATTATTTAAAAATGACTTCCATACAAGGTAATTTTATTAATTTTTAATGTTAATACATCTAATTTTGTGAGCAGGAATGGGAAAAATTTATTATCAATGTGTGATGTTATTAAAATATACTTTTATATATATTTATAAACTCAACAAACCTTTATATTTATTTCTAGTAGCAATGTCCCCAATAAAATCTAAATCCTCGTCATCCGAAGAATCATACAAGTAATTATTTAAAAAACCTGCCATATTTATTACTTTATTGAAATATATACCTATATGCGCTTTACTTAGCTTTTAGCACAATAAATACAATTGTGGGTTTTAGGTTATATTCTTTTTCTTCTGATTGTGAGTACTACCAGTTCAAAAAAGGTTCCAACCAGTTTATACGATATTCAAAATAATTTTACTGTTTTTGTTCGCGCAGTCGCATTAACGCTGTTACGGATATTACTGCTGGTTGGAATGAACCTTTTGTTTGGTTATGTAATGGTGGCCATGCTTATATTTTTCGCGCGCGAATAAAAGTGACAGTTTGCAAACATCAGCAGAAAAGTCCACATGCTTAGCAAATCTTTAAGGAATGAGGTAATCATGGTTTCTCTATGGAGGTAATTTTAACTTACGTTTATTGTTAATAATAAAATTTTGTTTGCATTGAAAGTAATTGTAACGTATAAGAAATGATTAGTTTAGCTTAATTTTATATAAAAAAATTTAATTAATGTAAAAACGTTATTTTTTAAATAATTTTGCAGTGTCGATAGGTATTAAAGCGGTTTCATAAAAAGTTAATTTTTTTTTATCTGGACTGCGGCAACGTTGCAAATTTAGGGTTTTGGTTGGTAAATAAAGAAACAAAATATCGCATTGATTAAAACAAACTAAGCTAGTTATAAATCTAATTGTGGTTATGTATAAATTATTGTAGGTTACATTGTGCAGTTGTCAAGTTGAGTTGTCGAAATTCGAAATGCAATTAATTTGGCGGCTTTGGTGGTGCTTGGATGAGTAAAATCATATAAAAAATTAGTTAAATATAGGTTGCTTTACGGCCCAGAAGAGAAAGTATTCCTAGCGGATAATAATCTTCGCTTTGAAAAGAATTTATATAAAAGAAATTTTTTGTGAACGTAAATATTGTCCAATGGTGAATAGGTATTTTGTTAAAGGCAATAAGAATTATAATGTATACCCTGCCGAAAATGCCCCTTTAAAACCAATAGAAACCAATAGAAATGTAAAAAAAAAGAAATTTAAAAAAAAAGAAATGTATACATATATGTTTTAATGTATAGGTTTAAATCTGGTGTATTGGTATCAATTGGAAATAGAATTGACTTTAATTGGTTTGAATGGGTAATTCCTATTTATCCTTTAAAACCGATTGGTGTCATATAAAATAAAACTCGGTACCAATACACATATTGAGCAGTGGCAGCTGGTGGATTTTGGATATACCGATATCTTAGTTATTAGACATGGGATCCACTCCAAACTTAAACGAGTTTATAATGATATTGGATAGACAAGATCTGCACAAGCAGAATTTAAATTGAAGTTTGCGAAAAAAGTTAGATTTTTAACTGGCCGGCCGGCCCCAGCCCCCTATTTAAGATTATTCAAATTAAAGAGGTCACCAAAGTTTACCGATACGTTTTAAAATTTATTTAAAAAATCCAAGAATTACAGAGTTTATACCATTTTATTTTTTTTTAATTTAAGTTTTTTTTAATTTAAGGTAAAAATTTAAAATGGTATAAAATCTGTAATTCTTGGATTTTTTACATAAATTTTAAAACGTGTCGGTAAACTTTGGTAAATTATGATTTGCACCACTTTAATTTGAATTATCTTAAATAGGGGGGTAGGAGGCTGGTACGGCCAGCTAAAATACTAACTTTTTTCGCAAACTTCAATTTAAATTCTGCTTGTGGAGATCTTGTCTATTCAATGTCATTATTAACTCGTATAAGTTTGGAGTGGGTCCCATGTCTAATAACTAAGATATCGGTATACCCAAAATCCACCAGCCGCCACTGATATTGAGTCCGATACAAACCGATGCATTTTTTAAATTGGTTTCTATGGGGCATTTTTGGCAGGGTATAATATTGTCCAGGACTATTAATGCTCAGTAACTTGCAAATTTAAATAAGAGAAAGTTTCGTGATTATTATCTTTTTCAATCCAAATGGTTGCTATTTTCAAAGACAGGAAAATTAACTACTAGATTTTTTACGAAAAGGTTAAACCTAACAGCAAATATTTTTTTTTACAAATAGGTAGTTATTTTTTCATTGATATCATTGCTTGCAACAATCATTAGGTACTTAATCAATTTATGAATATTTATGCATTTTCTTTTTAAATACCTTCTTTGGTAGTTTTCTTTACTTAAAAAAATAAATAAAAATCGTTTGCCGGAAATAACTTTTATTTTCATGTTAACATAAAATTTAATTCAAGTTTTCTTTAAAGCCTTTTTAAATCTCACTGGTGGACTTTATCCCATGGTTATAGGTGGTTGTAACCACTTGATTTATGTAACTTTAGCTGTGCTTAGTCTATTGCATCTAGGAATAATAATGGATTCATCACTCCTAGACTCGAATTTTCAAGACAACCAAAACCCGCTAATTTTCCACATCTAAATGAATAATGAAATAAAACCCCAAAAGCTCAAATTAAAAAATCTTCAATATTAACCACAAATTTTAAAAAACTTTCCTTACATCCCAAACTCAAATTTAAAAAAAAATATCCTTCCCATACCCAAGTGCAAATTTAAAAAAACAATACCTTAAAACGCAAATTTTGAAAAAAAATACACTAATCGCAAATCTTAAAGAAAAAAATCGTTTCCACCCTAAAACGCAAATTTTGAATAAATATTACATCCATGCCTCCAAACATGTGTATCTACCATATTTCATGAAAATAAATCGATATATATCTTAAACCAAAAACTCGAAAATTTTGACTAACGCGGGTTTAACGTATTATTATAATGGATAATTTGAAATTTAAAATGTGTAATCACACAAATAAATTAATCTGAAGACTGTTCATCCTCTATAATCATATCGTTTGAAAATGAGTCATCATCAGAGAGAAAATTTAACTCATCCTCAGAATCAGCCTCATCAGACGATATAATTAATGGTGGAGCATTGCGAAAATCCATGTTGCCCATGTTTTCTCTCCAGTCTTCCAAAATTAATTTTTCTGTTTGATTAACTACGTTTTCCCACATTTCAACGGTAAATTTTGATAAAGATTCTTGCCAAACTGGTTTTACTTTGTCTGGACTGGAAAATTTTAAATCATTAATATTTTTACTATAATATGTTTTACAAAAACCTTACACCATTTCAATGTG